TTCCCAAAGAATTTTTTTCACTGTGGCTTTCCATATTTCCCATTTCCCACCACTTGACAATCCTTAACTCACATCATTTATAGATAGTTATGATAATAGATGAGTTTAGGGTGGCCTATGATGCTATTCTCGGCTCCCTTTTAGCTTGGGATTCATTTCTTTTTTAACTTTCAAAAAATATTCCCAGAAGGCAGGAAGTAGAATTTCTGGAACCAAACTATTTTCAGTTATTTTGGGTTATGGCATTCCTTATATGGAATAATCCAATCAGAATTCGAGGTTCCAATCGTTTATTATTTTGAATCCTGAGTCTTCCTATTCTCAGAAAGAATAATTAATTACAATATTCGAATAATGAAACAATGAATAGAACCTAGGGGGTAAGCTTGATCTGTTTTGACTGTAAGAAAGTTTTAAAAAGCAATAATGAGACATAATGAAAACCATAGCCAATCAGGAGAGGGCAGACTTAGCACACCAGCAACCAATTTTTTATGCTCATTACTGTTAAACTTCTAGCAGGTTTGACAAGCTTGATTGCTTTATTTTCACTCCTTATGATGATTGGTTAACTTAATTAGTGAAAATGCACCCCGCACAACGTAATGAGTCAAGTAAACAAACCTGCCAAACAAAGGAATAATACTCAAGGGAATGACATGTGGTCTGAAATTGAGAAACAAGAGTTCCAAGGTGAAGCAGTCTCAAGACATAACTACAGTACCTCTTCCATTTGTCCAGTAGCAACACCTGATGATGCAAAAGCTTTAGTCCATGACAACATTTCATCTTCAGTTTTTAATGACAAATGTAGTGCTGGAAAGGAAAAGATATTACGTGAAAAATAGTATATTTGCTCCTTGATGGCTCGTTGACTTGTTTACTAGCCTGTTTGCATGCATGCTTGTCTTCTGGTTGGTTTAATTGTTTGGTTGCTTTTTTATTTCTCTGCTTGATTGCCTGGTGTTTGTTGTTGTTTTTTTGTTTACTTGATTTTTCATCTGTTTGTTTACTTTTTCATTACTTTGTTTGTTTATCTGCTTTTTCATTTATTSATTCATTTATTGATTCATTTATTCACTCATTTAGAAGCTTTCATGCTTGACTTACAAAGGAGAAGCAAACAAAAAACCAACAACAACAAAAAACAAAAAAAGTATAAATACATAAGCAAACAAGTGTGACATGGGGCTGTCTGTCTGCAGGGTTTTCAATAGAAGCCGGCAACCGTCAGATTCCACCGTCTACTCTTGCTAATTCAGCCACCTACTCAGCCACTTCCCAATGTAATTGTAAATCTTGATTAAAGTTCTCCAAACTAGCAAAATGTGTGAATAAAATGAATTTTTTAACCCAATCTCTGTTGCTGTACTATGAAAACTGCAACGCAATCGAAACTACAACAATTTATGTGAGAAGAGTAAGACTGGTCACAAGTATGCCTCGATTACATGCTCCAGTGATTTCCAGTTTACCGCCTATTTCAATTTCATAACCACCTACCAAAAATTTTATTGACAACCCTGTGTCTGTCTATTCATTTATTTCTTTACCTGACAACTGAATGTCTGGGAAAGAAAGCACCAAGCAGTTCTTGTTATTCTTGTCATACTTGAGATCAGCATCCTTCATAGGGTATGCTCTAACAGGAGATGAATCCTAGGGAAAAGATAACATCAAGTACATTCAACAAAACAACTAAATACAGTGCCACCTCTCTGAAGTATACTCCTTTGGGACCATGCCTGTTGCCTGCTTAATAAAGGTCTCTGCTAAACAGAGTTTTATTTTACAGTAAATTAACATGGGAAGAAAATGTAAGGAACATGCAACAAACTATCTATTGGAAGGGTGCTACTTAATAGAGTTCCACTTAATACCAGTGTAAGAGAAGAGAATATGGTTATCTCCTCGAGGCTTCCTCCCTCCTTCCCTCTCCATACCTCCTCCCCCCAATATCTCTCCTCTCTTTGCTGCCACAGGGATCCTGAATAGAAAGGGGAGGCTGCAGATCAGAGCTGGTTAGGTATCTAATATGACACCCTCTTGTATGAAGTTAATTAACATTTCTCCTCACCAGTTCGGTTCTAAACTCATACAAAGTATCACCACCTTGTTTAAGTACCAGGTAGCAAGATGACCACCTCAYCCATCCCTTCTTGTGAGCTGTACTTGACTTGGTACCACATTCTGACTTTAGTGACGCAACTGTTGGACCTACTGGTGATTGTTTTGGAGGATCTGAAAATTAAGTCACAATAATTATTAGTTATAATTTATTTCCAAGGGTCTTTCGCCTGGAATAACCTCGTTCCCAAGCACTATAACTCATCTATATTTCTATATCTTGTATTTCATAAGTGCTACGCGGTCCACATATTCTCGATCATCTTTGCATCATAATTACCGCGACCAAACATCTAATTCACCCTGGCCTGCTCTCAGTCTGACCTCTAGCTCAGCTGGTAGATCATCAGTAGTACAATTCCAAAGTTCGTGGGTTTGATTCCCAGTGAGGCCGGAGATTAATTTTTCCGAATTTATTTCCAAGGGTCTTTCACCTGGAATAACCTTGTTCCCAAGCACTATAACTTATCTATATTTCTATATCTTGTATTTCATAAGTGCTACGCAATCCACATATTCTTATTAGTTATAATGTGAAGTTCAAAAATTATCCATGCCCCCCACAGAGGAATTTTGAATTTCCAAGGGGTGAGGGTGTCAGAGTAAGAACAAAATTACAGAGTTTGCTAGTGAGAAAATTGGAATTTCTGGGGTTAGAGGAGGGGTCTTAAAAAAATCCTCCATGGGGGAGGGTGGGATGGGAGGTATGGATAATTTCTGAAACTACAGAATGTGAGGGAGCTTATTACATTCAAATTAGCAAAGTAATTACATTGAATTTTTTGTTTGAGTTGTGGGATGGTGGATCCAGGGGTCATTTTTTTTCTAGATCATTTAAGATTTATATAGAGCACATATACCAAGTGCAAGGCACTTGGTATTATGTGGTATATTTTTTCTTACCATCTTGTCTAAACCTGTAAAATAGTGGTCTGTCCTCAAACTGATGTTCGTCAACAACATGGTGTATCAGATCAATGTCCAGTAGGTCCTGATAACACACAAAAAAATCCAAAAATTCCTTATTATAAAGTTTTCCTGCATGGGCAAAGGGGTTTACCTCCCTCCATTAAAATAAATATGTGGGTTGAGAGTTGTATGCATAGAATAATGAATTTAATGGTAGTATGTGTGACACCCTCTAAATTTGGGGAAAAAAACRATAAAGGAAAAAGGAAAAGCTGTCGTAATATCACACCCTCTTAAAAGAGAGGTCAAGATTTGCCAAAACAAACAATAGTTTTAATAATCAACTGGTTTTAATGGTTTGTTTCCATTGTTTCTCATTCTGTTATATTCATTCAATTGGGTTAGATCTTCTTTGAGCTGCAACCTTGCCCAAAAGATGAAAAGAAAAAAGTATATAAGAGCAGGATTATATTTTATGCAAGTGAAGGTGGACGAAATATTTATCCAATTGTCATAATACTTATTATTATTAGATTTGTTCCTGCAAACATTCTACCTGGCCAATTTTTACAGCATCTTCTCTGTTGTCAGCATATCCATTCTTAACCAACCAATCAACAGCCTCAGAACCTGATTATTTAAATGACTATAGTTAAATACTCAACAACCTTTTCAAAAATGCATTGCCTCACATTTTACAAATAGCCCTCATGACAATTCATTATTTATTTTAAGACTAAACAAATCCACCAAATAACATTTTTCCATTTTCTCAATCTTTCCCATCCCAA